TATACGGCGATTACAATTAAAAGTAGTTGTAACGTTTTTATTGTTTTTATTGTATAATAAGATGTCTATCATCAAGGTAACTATTGGAATTTGGGTAAAATAGAATGAGTCAGAGAAGTGTTTCATTTTTGAAAAAAGTAATTTATATCAGTACGTTATTATTTGTTACGACGATGATTTAATTTTCTTGTTTGCTTTGTTTTAAATTCTTATATGCCGCATTTTTTCTGTCACCCGTATACGAGAAACGGACAAATGCATGATTTCACTTTTCGGTAAAAATTTGTGATGTTTTCAACGAAGATTACGTTTCTCCATTGAATTAGCATCTCTAAGCTTCAAATTCAAGCTTTGTAAAAGTTTGGAAAGCTCTGTTATACTAGAGTCAGACTATTTTAGCTCACATACGTAAAATACAATTTTCGTAAAGTATAATATTCTTGTAATCATAAAAATTAATGTTTGGATTATACGGATGAAGATATTGCATTCCGATTTCATGGACTTCAGCATTTATATAAAATTTTTAAAAATAGTTTCTTTTGAAACAATATAATTTCTTTATTATAGTCAATTTCTCTAATATATTCAGTCTTTTAATTTGGAAATTGTAATATATAATATATTACAACGTCGCGTAAAGTCATTAACCATTATTCAATTCCAAATTTATTCAGTAAAAAATGAAAAATGAATTTCAATTCCTCACTAAAAAGATGCTACTGTCCAATGCTCATATTGAATTATTATTTCTTTGAGTGTTTGACAAATTCAAAATCAGAATCATTTAAATTAGTGTAATACTTTCGCGGTGTTACTGTTTTCTTAGTACCTACACGTGGCACTGTAAAGTCGATATCCTTATATTTAGTTTCATCTATACGCCCGTAAGCTTGTAAAGGTTGAATTAAAACATCTGGGTCCTCAGGGCAAGGAACTAATTGTACAAATTGTGTTTTGGGTTTGGTGCTTGGAGAAGCGGTCTATTACATATAGGCGTACGTTAAATCAATTATAGTATCAATATATACTGTTATCGAACAGTCTTACACATACCTGGATTCTGTTGGATTTTATTTCTGTATCTGAGGGTAGCATTAAATCATTTATTCTTATCAACTGCTGTTTTAAAAGTCCTCTGACTACTGCATTTTTATGAAGTTTACATTGCTTTAAAATATTTTCTTGATCCTGAATATTTTCTTCACTGTTACTGTTCCCTAACATCATTAATTCACTATTAGTTTTCGTATTAACTGCTATATTGCTCTTTTCTAAGTCTTCCTTGTTATGAACACTTGAAGTTTCTTTCTCCCAGTGCCTTTCACTAGCCTCATTTGAGTAGTTAATACCACCATTAACCTGTACGTTAAAATTTAATTATATCTGTTATATACATATTTATCAAAAGAATTCCAAGTTGACATATTGCATTACTTTATCAATAGCAGATGCAATTTGATCTTCTTGTAAGATCTCTTGAGGTACAGATGTAGCATTGTATCTGCTGTTACCAGGATCAGTATCAAAATCTAATAACTGCAACAAACAATATTAAAATAATAAAAGACTTATTTATCTAAACGTTTCATTAATAATTATTATTATTTGTCAGTAAT